TATCACTCAATCAGATATCAGAAGTTTCACACTAATCGATTATCTTACAACAACCTCACATCTATAAACTTTTCAATCTTGTAACTCTATTGAAGAGGCTTCTGAACCCACAAACATTGGCAGAGCTGATTTTTGGACTTCTGCAACTGTTAAATGGAATAAAGTTCGATTTTCCTGTCAGAGTCTTAAAAACTTCATAATTTGATGTTTTTTTCTGACTCCTGTAATTGCTTCCTGATGTGACCTAGTTGTGTTAATTGCAGACTGTTTGTCTGATTGTGAATGTTTTCTTCTCAATGAGGTGACCTGATTAAATAACGATTAAATAATAACAATTAAGCGAGGCAACAGTAACAGTTTATAGAGGTTTCACTTTATTTATCAAAAACAAAAAGTGAATACAGGCACAAAACAACAACAATCAGCTGTTTTTCGCTGTCACCTTTGAGACTGATGATTGTAAAAATTGCAACAAAACAAGCTGTACTCAAAAACGAATGCAAATACTATCGCCTACTGCATTAAATCCACTCAACAGCAGCAGTGCAGAAACATAAATATATAAGAAAGAAATGAAACAGAAGTTAAAGATATACAGATTGTGTATTTTCAGAATAAGACGCTGTACTCGTGTATAATGGCAGCACTATGAAAGCAAAGCTTCTACTGAAAACACAGAACATCTGATGACTTAAGCGCCAAAAACTTTACATCCTGTGATCCTGACGAAGGCGGTGACCTCAGTAATCGCTCCAGGAGAAAAAACTTCAAAAGAAACTATGAATATCAAACTAAAACATTCATCCACCTGAATGCAGCAAAAAGCTTTGAAGCCACCAGCACCACAGCTCAAATCCATCACATTCCGACAAGTAATTACAGTCTGACTACTGTCTAGTAAGAGGAGGCTGCGTAACTCTAAAGTTCATGCAAAGGTTTTACTAGTTCTATCACCAGTTAGTGTTAAAGTTAAAGCTGCACTGGGCAAAGGGTTTCAGAGGCAGCGGTATTTGTTGTTTGCAAACTGCTAAAAAACTTAGAAGAAGTTAAACAAACAAAACATCGGCCATCTGTGAAAGAAATATGAACCTTCAGGAATTGTTTCCAATCGGAAAAATTGTAATTTCTTGAAATTTCTCGTTGTTTTATGTCAGCAAAGTTCATGTTGTCCAGATACAAAGACAACGGAAGAAGTAGAAACAGCTTGAAGTTCATGTGAGATAAATCTTCATTCATTATTTCAGAAAGCATGTTTCAGTCTACGACAAAGCTCCTCTTTTTGGAAAAGGTTTAAAAAAAAAAAAAACTACCTCAATCAGGTGTAAAAGATTTCACGAGTTTTTTTTTTTTTTTTTCAAATCTTGCATTATCCATTAACGTTCTCTGATGCAATACTTAAAGATACATGATGGAAACTAATCTAGAAATTCACTAAACGTGAACTGAGCTTCTGTATTAATTGTAATTTTACTTTTCTTTACTTACTTTTCCATTTCTTTGCAGATGACAGGACTGTATACACCTTGGGCTTCAAAAAATTAAATATTTTTTCAAAAACTGAAAAACAACCTCAAGCTAGCTTCTTGATGACAGATTTTCACAGATATAGTCAAAAACCTTAAGCAAGCATATTGCAAAACTAGGAAAGTTTTATGAATTTTGCCGTTTACATTATCTTGTGTCTAATGTGATAATTCAAACTACTTCATGGAAACAACTTGTATCTTTAACCAGTTTATGTTGTGCAGCATTATATGGTTACTTGGAGGTACCTAAAGTCACCTCATTGGGTTAAACCTCTTCGCCTGGTGCAGCTTTAATATCTACCTAAGCGCTCACTGATGTCGCTGTCTAGCACCACAAGGTTTCCTCTTTAACTCTAACTATTCTGTGTTCAGAAACCAGTCTGACTCGGTGTTAGCTTCTTTTCTCACCGGGCTTCTCAGAGACCAGCTGAGGCCAACTTCACCTTCCCAGTTTTGGCAGTATGTACAACATTATTATATGTAAAGATCAACACGTAGACGTCAACATTCATCTTCCTTCTCAAAGTTCTGTCAACCACCTGCCATCTTTCCTTTCCCTCCAACCATCCTGTGCAAATTATCTGCACTTGGAGCCTGGTTATGAATCACAACACAATCTGGGCTCACAAATTAGTCAAACATAACTTTTGGGATCTTTGATTTGAAATCCTAAATCGTAATTTGTCCCAGTGCGTCAAGTTATTTCAATGACAACAGATGATTCTTGATGACCTGAATTTGCAGATTTTATAATAACAGTTCATGTTCTGATGATTATTCTTCCACTTTGACACATTCAAACAAATAAACTGTCCGTCCTTGACTGATCATACACCTTTTCCTACTCCTGGCTGAGTTTTCTCCAGTGTCCAACCTCATCTTCTTTTCAGCGCCGTCCAATCGGTGCTCATCTACTACCTGTGATCTTACTCCGCTATCCGGGTGGCGCCAGCCTCCTCCACCGGCCCCTCCCTCTTGGTTTCCATGGCAACCTCAGTGTAGGCCACGCCTCCTGCCGGCTCCTCGCCCTTGCCCTCGCCCTCGGCACCCTCCTGGCCCTCGGCGACGGCCCTCTCCTTCTTCAGCTTGATGCGAAAGGCCTCTTTGCTCGGAGCTTTCTTGGCGATGTTCTCCTTGAGCCGCTCGCCAGACTGCTTCAGCCGCTCGCCAGCCTGGTGCATCTTCTCCCTGCGCTCTTGTGGCATCATCTTCTCGCCTAGGTTGTGGAACTTTGTGCCCAGGTTGCCCTTGGTTTTGCTCATGTTCTCCTTGGAGAAGGCAGCCTTCAGGGTCTCCGTACTCTTCACCATGGACTTCTTGAGGCGAGCAGCCCGTGAGGAGTCGGCTTCCTCCACACTCAGGTACTCCTCGTCGGAGGAGAGGTCGGCGGGGATGTCATAGGAGTCGGGTTCGATCTCCAACCCCTCCAGACCAGGTCCTTGGGGAGATTTGGTGACGGCCACTGATGGGACCTCCGCCTCCCCCTACAGAGACAAAACACATTAATTACAAGAAAACTGCCAAAGGCACAACATGCCATAATTCCATCATAAAGGGAGAAAGTTAAACATTTATTTAATTGAATTAATTTGATTTGCTGTTAGACATTATAGACCACAGAAACTCTGCATCTCTTAGATGGTAACAGTTCATACTGAGACTGACTTGGATCAACAAGGAATATTTTATTCTGGACACTTTTCTCTTGGTTTGTCTGGTTCATAATAATTTTCCTTGGACACACTGAATTTTTGCTTTACCCCAAAAAATTACTACTACTTCCATACAAAAAAACAACAACAAACGAATAGAATATTTTTTGTATCTAGTCGTGTTGTTTCTAGTTGTAAATACAGTCGGCAGCAATTTACGTGCAAACAGAGTGGCAGTATATATCTATAAGTTGTACTCCAAAGTATTGTTCCCTTTATTATCTCTGTTTTGCATTTCAGTGGGCTAAACTAATGTTGCTGCTGTTGGATTTTTACATCAATGTGAAAAAACATCTATATTTGTATTTGTATTGGATATTTATTTGCTGGATTTGAAATAACTGTGTGTTGCCTTGATGAATCTATTTTTGTGCAGTATCACCATATTTAAAGTTACATTTGGTGAGTACAATTTACTATGTAGAGACCTGCAAAAATAAAACCCATATTGTAATAACATTTGGCCTCTTGGTGGTAGTTTGACAAGCTGTAAACACAGCACTGCCAGGTGCTATGGAGAACCTGTGAGGTGTGTGGTATACCTTCTACACAAGAGTTGGTGAAGGTCTGCAGGACGCAAGTGTATTATTTCCCCAAGTCCATGGACAGCCGACAGCACAACACAAGTGCTGAATATGTAAATGCACATTTGTAATGCACATTTATGGAGTCCTCAACATGGACTAGAAAGTAATAACAACTTCAAGTCTACTGTGTCTACAACTGTTCATGTTTGCATCTGCGTGGGAGTATAATCACGGCTTTAGTGAGCGTTAAGTTACTTAATTCCTCATCCAACAGTTACACAACGACATGAACATTCATTGGAGTCATATGTGTTTCCAATTAATGAGCCCAGGCCCAAAGCTCAATCTATTTAAGCTCCACTTTTGGTCTCCACCTTCTGAGGGGAACGCAAAGTTCTGCAGTTGCTAAAAGTGAAACTATGTTCAGCTTCTTTCTGCTAAAAACATCTGCCTGCACAAACAAAAAAACTGTAGATGTTTGTCACTATGAAAGGCTATATTACATACAGTCACTATCACAGTATTCATTATCAATCTGAAAATATTGATTGTGCAATTTGGTATCATTTGGTTGACATTTATTTTATAAGTGCAGTGACCATAGAAGTAGCTTCGATATGTGTTTTTGGAGATAATAGAAGGTGTATTTTTCACAGGGAAACAAACTAAATAAACACTAGAACTGAATGTTTTAGATTTTTTGTGTGAACTAATTAGTGTTTTCATGTGAAACTGATCCATCTGAAACATGTGATAAGATTGTCGTCCAAAATGTTCTTCAAAACTCTGCTGGATGTTTAATCTCAGCTCAGAGCCATCTGAAAGTTCTCGATTCTAAAACATCTGCTGTAAAGTTTTTCTCCTCCTGTTTGGCACGACAGAAAACCTCGCCTGCCTCTGCACACACATGAAACTGATCCGTCTCTTCTATCCATTATAGATAAATTACTGTGCAGCCTGTTGAGACGATAGAAAACATGATATTCCTCTGAGGTTCTCTGTCAGACTCTGCAAACACTGACATCGTCATGAGATCCAGTTTTTCTATTTTTACCCATGAGCTGTAATTGAACCTGATTCGACAGGAAGCTGCTGGCAGAACAACACCTAGAACTCGAGACCTGCAGTAATAACAACCACCGTCTGGTTCCAGCCATGCGGGTCGCTGTTGGACTGTCGATAAAGCTGGTTATGGTATTCTTAATTTCCAAAGAATCAATCGTACTACATGACTGTGATATGCTCAAGTGCACATTGTCACCACTATATTCATCCATGCCCACTGGTGACTCATACATTGTTTTGAAAGCTGCCACACTTTTAGCATGTGCTGGGACAGTGGATTGTTGGTTTGGCATGACGTGGACAGTCAGAATCGTGCTGCATCAGCAGTAATGTGGGTGTTGTACAGAACCATCGTAGTGAAGAAGGAGCTGAGTCGGAAGACAACACTTCACCAGCTGATCTACGCTCCAGCCCTCACCTATGGTCATAAACTCTGGATACTGACCAAAAGTATAAAAGCATAGGTGATAAAACGATAGGTTTTAACAATACTGATATTAATTAAAGCTTGGTTGCATGAACAAACAAAATGCGCCATCACCACACCAATCAAATCCCCTAAAAAATGGAGCTCCTTATGTTGTCTGCTGTCCCAGTGGCTTTCACGGAGGGTCTCCTGAGGTGCAACAGTCGAAGGCCTCCTGGAAATTTCCGTCAACTCCTATCGAAGGCTGATTTTCGGCAGGGACCAGTGGTTGCCCTTATGAGACTGGTTTCAACGTCTATAGATACCCAGAACAACTGCGTCTTCCACTACCTCCACCTAAGTGATGCTCTCCTAGTGTCCTGATGCAAGGCCTGATGGACTTGACGTTAGGGAGGACGGTGCAGGACGTCCATCCAGTGACACCTGGTCCAGGTCAGTGACCCTGAACCTTAACCTCAGTGAATTACAGCGGATTTACCCTGGTCGCACCAGTTTACCCTGTCTTCAGGTTTTACACATTGAAATTATTACCTGTGTACCTTCATAAATAAAGTGGTTAAGTTCAAAATAAAGATTTATTCTACTGGTCTTTATTACGAATAGGTCATTAAAATGATCAGTAACTAGTGACTGACAATAAACATGTTTATCTCGATACATTTTTCAGCTACGTTGGCTGGATAAGAAATAAGCCAGAATTATCTTTCAAGTACATAAAAGTTTACTAAATGTACGTCACTAAGTGCTATTTAGTGAACTTTTAACCTTCGTAATTGTTGACTTTTTCATGTCACTAGTCAAAGCTATGAACAATCTCATGGAAACATATGAAAAGCTGTTCTTCATTGGAGGATCATTAGGCAGTTTAATGCTCAGTAAACCAATGAATATGACAGTTTAGCATCTAAAAACTTTGCTGGAAAACTGATAAAGATTATTTTGAGCACTTCACTGATTAGTTACATGAAAAGCTAATTAGTTTATTATGACAGTTTAAATAATATGTCAAAGTTTTCTGTGCTTTTTCTACAGATTACTGGATGTTTTAATGTGATTTTTAATTCTTTATTAATTAACAAACACACTGACATCAAGATCATACTGTGCCAGTTATCCAGGTTTCACTTTTACTACATGTTTTTCCTCAAAATATGTCAAACCCTGATTTCATAATTTAAATGGAAGCAGGACTGTCATATGTTGGGGGACGATGAGGAAACTCCTGGCAGGCTGCTCCCCCTGCGGCGCCCTACAGGTGACTTTGGATGTGAAAGCCAATTAATCCTAATTACGCTGCAGCCACCTGCGACGAAGGCGCTCATTAATCAGGGAGGAGTCGTCAGAGTGCGTCCAGACGCTGAGAATGACACAATAATTACAGCGGCAGCGAATGTGGGTCAGAGCGTGTATTAATAACCCTACCAGTAACGGAGGAAGAGACTGTCGGCAAGTTCAGACCACCAGAGAGGATGTTAACACACCGACACACCAAACACAGAATCAGGAAAACTCTCGTTACGCAGCATCTCTCAACCTTTCTGTGGTATGATCATAAAACCATTACTGAATAAGGCCGATCAGGCGAAGGAGCAGGGGCTACAGACAGAAAACAAAGAAGAACATCTAAAAATAATATATCATGATGATAAACAGATGTAAATCCACCACAAAGAGGTGCAAAACATCTGCAACGACCTCACTGAAGATACAAATCAGTTCAAAATGAGCACAAAGCAACAGAAAACGTGAACATAACATGAAAAATGATTTGATAAAGACTTAAAAAAAATTTGCAAAACCAAACAAAAGTGACAAAAAACAACCAAAAGAGACAAGAAAATGGTCACAAGAGACATGGAAAAAAAATGCAACATGAGCACGAACAAACAAACATTTAAATAAAACCACACAAAACAACTAGAAAAACATGCAAAACCACCCCAAAAATATACAAATCAATTCAAAATGATGCTACAGAAAAATAAAAAGTATCAAAATGACACAACTACAGACATAAAGTGATCACAAACCGATATAAAATGATCACAAAGAGACAGAAAACAATCTACAAATGTCCACAAAACCACCAAAGGAGCAACAAAATGGTCTCCAAGCTACAGAAAGCAACAAACATGTTTGCAAATATGCACAAAATGATGCAAACTTGTGTAAAACATTCACAAAGAAACAGAACATGTGAACATAGACATTAAAAATGACATACAACTACAAACAGATGCAAACCAAACAAAAGAGACAAAAAAATTGTGAGACACAAAACAACCGAAACAGCCAGAAATCGACAAAGACCCAGAATGACCACAAACTTATTCAAAATGATCACAAAGAGACGTAAGACAACTCAAAATGGCCACAGACAGAAAACATGAAGAAAAACATTTAACAAGACTACATAACGACAACAAACAGATGCAAAAAGACAAAGACAAAATTATGCCAAATGACTACAAAGTAACAAAAAGCCAGAGACATAAAATGCCAGCAAAGACACACAACACAACAGACACAAAACCAAACAAAAGTCCTCTGCAAAGAAGCACAAAACAACTGCAACAATCTACAGAACAATCAAAAGAGCTGCTAAAAAATTATCTAAAAAATTTGAAATGACCACAAAGTGACAAAAAACACAAACAGTGACAAACAAAATGATTTTAAAACGGATGCAAAACCACCACAAAGACACACAAAACAACATATTTATTGTTTATCTGTCTGATTTATGTTGCTAA